AGAACAAACATAGATTTGTGCATGGAATATGAGTGCAAGAAACCAATTAAAATGAAAAAATTGTTTGCCAGCTTCTCCTATTATAAGCTAAATGCCGGGGAACACTTTGTTCACTATGTCATCGGCCTGGGAAGCAAGGGCTATGGAGTTGGTGGCGTTGAAGAAATCCTCAACCAGGCACTCATGATCCCCAGGGTGTTCAGTGGCTAGAAAACCATGGGGAAGAAGTCGAAGCTCGTGGCCAGAGCGAGCTTGCGCAGCAGCCAGTGCCTTGGCAGCACCATGACGAATGCCATGAAGAGCAACCTCTCTGACACAGTTCAGGATGTCGTGCAAGCGAACCACCGGCACGGCACCCCTGGCGTTGACAAATCCTACCGCATACTTCAAAGCTGATCGAAGGCTTTCCAGCTGAGCCAATAGATCTAAAAAGATTTGAGGAAGGGATGATCAAGATCTTGAAGACAAAAATTAAGAAGAGACAAAAAATTGTGGTAGGCATCTCACCCATGATTCTAGCTTCAGCCTTGGCCAACCTCTCCTCCACCTGGTTGGCCTCAGAGGGTGATCGGTGCTGAGCCATGGCCAGAGCCGATTCCACGATGGAGAGGCAGTCGGCGAGCTTCTGGCCAGCCCGATCGATGGAGGCGATCAGGTCATCATTATCTATCCACTTCCTCGGCAGTAGCGGGGGAGGCTGCTGAATTGTTGATGAAGACAACCACGGAAGTTGAGCAGAGTCAGCCCTATGCTCTAGGACAATGGGAGCACCCCAGGTTGTACCCTCCTAATGACGAAGACGTTGGCATGGTGACACAGACCCATTGAAGGCCTCCTCAGCAGACCTCTTGCCGTTCTCCATGCCTTCAAACCTATGGGAAAGCGTAATCACACCAAAGATACTAAGGTTTGGGATGAAGCGGGTTGTTTTTGATCCACAAAGTGGCCCGTATATATAAACCCGGGAGGTGAGAAGATAGGCTTCGCCGGGTTATGGAATTAAAGTCGATATGGAAATGGATCGACACTCAAAAATTTAGGGGATGGATCATGAAGAGACAATGATTCGGACTTATTGCTTCCCATAATTATAAAATATCGTGGGATTGATACGAAAGGTTTACATTAACTGGCGATCAACCCACCAAGACTTCTTTGGATTGAAGGGAGTTCAGATCCCCACAAGGCCGAAGTTCATCATGGACCAAGTCATATTGGCCCGCTGATAAAATTGCATCAAGGGAAGAGGAAAGGCCGCCTGCTTAAAAGATGCCCATATACCCAACCGATTTCTCGGTGACTGGGAAACAATGGGAAAGAAAGCCGCCTACTAAAAGATGCCCATTTTTCGGTGACTGGGAAACCGTGGGAAAGAAGTATGTGGTTTCCCCGAAGGGCATTTGATGAAGCGAACAAGGGGAAGGTGTCCACACATTTTAGCCCTTGCAAACACTAGAACAACTCTGCGATCATGGTGAGAAAACTCATGTGATGTCACAAGAATTCTTCTAACCGCCGTAGCTGATCCTCTTGCTCGACAAGGTGCTGAAATGAGCGACACAATCACCCTATGCACAAGAATTCTTCTAACCACTCAAGATCTTCATAGCAAGGAATTAGACCATGGAGGGTCTGGCGGAGCCAAGGGCACTCGAGGTAGTAAGAAGAAGAGAAACATAACTGAGTTGTTGAGTTGCTCACGCCGGAGTCGGATAGACATTTATAGTCGGTTTGGAAAGATGGATCCAAGCACCCGTGAAGCAATGATGCTCTTGTAAAGCTTTGAAGCATGGGCTCATAAGCTGGCAAAAGCGGTGATGAGATAGTAGACCCCGGATCAAGATTCTCTACCCGTGACTATGGACCTATCGAAGGCACATCGTGGTAATTTTGGAATAAAATTACTTTTATCCCAAAATTGGGGGCATGTGTTTACACCAAAATTTGGGAAGAAGAATGCGGAACTCAAGCACCCAAGATCGTGTCATCAAGGAATCGATTGCATAAAGGGTCGATATCAGCTAATTTAAATGCAACACCCGGAATTGGCTCTCTTTGGATGACGCCAAAGCAGATAACGACAAAAAGCTACGAGTTGGCGTAAGAAAAAACATGCCTGACTCTACAAAAGAGAAAGATTAGGGTCCAAGTTATCTTAAATTAGAATTTTTTCTCGTATGCCAAAGATTGTAATGAGTCGTACTTAGGTAAGATTCATGCTTGGGTTCTGAGTATAAATATTGGACCCCATCTATTGTAAAAGACATCCAATCAATTAATACAAGTTACTTTTTTTGGCCCCGTGCCAACCCTTAGGAATAGGAGTAGGAGTAGAGTAGATTCCGATGAGTTCTTCAACAAGCAGGGCTACATCGGTCCGGCCGACCTCCAGCTTGTCTGTAAGTACCGTCATGGCTTATACTTCTGTTTATACGGCTGCATCGGTTAAGTTCGACCTCCACTGCGAACTCTAGTATAAGCTGGTTATCGACTCTTATCTAGTTCAAGTATGGCTGCATCAATCCGGTCGACCTCCACTACTCGAATTAGATTAAGGTCAAGTTATCGGCTCTACCTAAGGGTGGCGTCCTTCGGGTAGATTCATTAAGTTACCGACCTTGCTGATGTTCTTATTGCTATTAGTCTGCAGCAACATCAATCTACCCAGTCGAGATCGATCTAGATTGGCCTCATATCCTTTTAACTCCTCGTTTATCTTGTTACATTGCAATGGTCCTTGCTTTAGGCAACGGGTTATGTTTTGTTAGCTGTTCTATTTCGATCTTGATCGTACATAGTACGCGGTCAGGGCATATCTAACCTTGAGAAGGTTTACTAGCTAGTTGAATCTGGTCTATAGCTCACTATCACGGCTATATCGATCCGATTGACCCCCACTGATGGCCCTGTAGATTGGAGGATGTTAGTTAGTAGATTTTTTCTCGATTAGGCTTGACCTTAACTGTTTGTTATGCCTACATCTGCTAAATAGTTGATTGCCTATGCTCTAACGCCTACAGTGTGTCTCCATGATTCTGTTAAACATGAATAGATATGTTTACTTTAAAGGTTTGATTTGTTTCTTTATCATGGCTGCATCGATTCGGTCGACCCCCACTGTTAGAGATAGCAGGTTAAGTCTAATGAGTTTATAGGTTTGTCCATGTTAAATAGTCGATTATTCACATGTTGTAGTCCCTTTTCGCCCGAATCGGCTATTTCAGCCGATTCACTCGAGCTTTCACACATATAACGTGTCTTTCGGAAAGTCTGTCGATGTATAAATGGTTTTATGGATTCTAAGGTTTTAGTTTGTTATTATCATCATAGCTGTCATCGATCCGGTCGAACCTCATTGTTGATGGTAACAGATTAGATTCAGAGCGTTTGTAGATCCATTCGTACTAGACAGTCGATTTGTTCGCATGCTATATCTTTTCTCGTTAAGATTCATCGGCTCAATGATCCACACTGGTAATATCCACCTAGCTGATGATTTTGCTTACATCCGCGCGCATTGTACCTATCAACATAAAATCAATCGCGACCCACGAGCTTCATTTGTCCGTAATCACCGATCTTCGCAGATCGGCTATTTAGTCGATTTTCGTCGTCATCTACCGAGCAAAGACACTTGGAACTGTCTGGGCAAAGAACGGCATGTTCCACCTTAAATTACTGATAAAACTTTCTCTCCTTGTCAATTGCAGGTCAAATTGACTAGCACGCTTCGGGAGGAATTCGCAGGATCGATTAACCCTGCGTTGAAGCCAAGCGGATCTCCGGACTCATCCTAAGCAGATCCTTCTGGCTTGCTGTGTGCCCGGCGCATTGACACGTTTTTGCGCCGACACTTTCTCATCAACATAGGCCTTGTTTGAACCATGGCCAACCAAGAAACCACAGTGGTGCACCTCAACCGTAAACATGTCATCTCTGGAACCTGCATTTACCAATTCGAACTCATCACTAACTGATTTTTAGCAAAACCGTCAAACCTAAACTGAAATCAACCAAACCCTAAAACCTAGCAAATAAAGGCCACAAATTTCCACACCCAAATCGAAGCACATAACCAATATTACAACCTACAACCACTAATAGCATGTTTTTTGAGCTTCGATTGACTTACTATAATCGGACGGCGATTCTCCTTCTCCACCTGCAGTCGTCGGGCGCCATGGCGTGAATTCACCGCCACCAACGCAGGAATCCGCGCCCAACAAGCGCTCTGGCCCCTCCTCCTACGCCAGATCTTCCACACTCGCCGTCGATTCGCCCCCGCAGCAGCCGCTCTGCCGTCGCCAGCCGCTTCGTCTCAAGGACAACGAACTCGAAGACATGGGATGAGGAATAGAAATTGGATTCGGGGTAAGCAAGGGGGTTTTCTGCATATTTCACAAGGCTCCAGCGTCCTCACATGCGGATCACATGCACTCAGCCTCCACGCTGGCGCTGCCACGTCGAACGGAAGGCGCCTCCCAGGGGTTATGGACCTAAGTGGCACAACTAAACAGTTTAGAGGGCTAAATTTTAATTTTGCGAGTTCATGGACCTAAGTGACACAGAACCACAAGTTCAAGAGCCACCAGTGCATTTAACTCTTATTTCAATTAAGAAGAAAATAGAGCATTGCTCTTTAAACAAATCTCTCTCTGCCTTCTAGCGCGGCCGCCCCTCTTCCTGCACCCAGCACCGCCGCCGCCGTCCCTAACCCGCCGTCCCTAACCGGCCCCTCCCATGAAAGACCGTGACAGATATAGCAATGCATTTCATTTAAACAATCCGCCGTATACATAATAAAATAAAATCAAAATCAAATGAAACCACGACGCTTTAGCATTACATTGCAGGGCCAATAACAAGGTCAAATATTTCGTATGCTGCACTGAATAGTGAATACAACAGAAGCAATGATGTATTGCTTGCAAACAATTGATGGACTTCTACCAGCGGGGCAAGTTAATTTCGCGTAGTTGCTACACATACATGTAGCATCGCTACCTCCTCTGGAAGTTGATTTTCATGATAGCAAAGCCGAACAGGAAAGCAAACAACACGGTGAATGCCAGGACCACCACGGCCACCACGCCCAACCAGCTGTGCTTGAAGCCGAAGTACTTCTCCACGAAAACATTCACGGGGACGCCGTTGTCCATGGGCGTCGTGATGTCCCCAAACTGAGACACGACCAGCCCGTACATCGTCCACGCCACAGGGCACGCCCAACAGTACCACTTCCACCAGATCGGGACTTTCTGAACACATTGCCATGCCAAAAATGGCAATGATGAGTTCCACAGTCAACGACAAAATTAAATTTGTAGATGTGGGTAATTGATGGGGATGGAGCAATATATAACGGGACTTACGGGGCGAGGGATGACGAATCCAGAGAAGAGGTTCCAGATGGCATAGAACAACGTGGAGACGATCGACGCGACATGGTAGCTCGGCGTCAAGCCGACAGCCATCATTCCGTAGAACGTGAAGTAGAGCCAGGTGAAGTACATGAAGAAGAGGTACCAGAAGAATTTGACAACTGTCCATTCAAACCCCATCATGGAGTACACTATGATCCCGTATATGGTGGACTGAGCCAGAGTGTATGGGAGTTCAATGGTAACCTATATATATACAACGGAAGTTTTAGCGATGTCGTCAGTGATCTCTCATCGATAGAAGGTACTATATATATCAGGAGTTTATATGAGAGCCGCTCTCACCTGTCCAAATGCATATGGCAAAGCTGAGTACATGCCGGCAGCTCTTTCGCGGTAAAACACAGTCCTCTCCACAGAGACTACTGGCTGGACAGATGTAGCATTCAAGATGCCGATGAACATCACTGCAGCATACATGGACCCCATGGCATTGAACAAATCTTGTGGTTGACCCCTGGCAGGTAAAGACTCAAATGGTTCAGATTCTTTTTCTTTTTCTTTGAGATGTTCACACACTAGATAGGTGCGATGTGGCAGATACTTACATTTTACCACCAAGGTCCCAGAAGATGGTGCCAAAGATAAGCGCTATGACAGTTGTAAAAACTAGCCTAATGGCATTGTAAGCAGGGTTCCTCCAATATGACAGGTTCTGCTTCCACAAGCAAGCCAGGCATTGCATGAAGAAAGGCTGCGAGTACTGGTTACGGAAATGAAGGTCAGTTGAGCCTGCTGGTGGTTGGCTTAACTCTTGTATCAAGGCCTTGTTCCTCCTGAAGAACATTACATTAAAATCATGGTTATCATGGTGTAGCAATGATGCGGAAATAAGAAAATTCCAGGAAGGTAGACGCTACTTATGAACTGATCATACATACCAGTTCCATTAAACAAAGTGTTACTTTCATTTTGTTAGCAAAGTTTTTTTTTTTAAATATCTCCAAGATGCAAAATGACACGAAATATTTTCCTTGCTAATAATAACACTAACATTTTACACTTGTATAAGATGTGTAGTAGTTTTTTTTGAAACTAGACGTGTAGTAGCTACTTGAGAAAAGTATAGGTGCAAAACAAATACAAAACATACATACGTAGTCATCAAAATGGTGACTATATTGAACAAATAAGACAGGTAGGGTGTGTGTACGTGCGTTTATAGAAATGAGTGTGCATATGACTGTCTCCGTCTGTACTGTGATTCGCTAAAAAAAGAGGTGTATATGTACAAAGAAATTATATTTCTAATCAAAAGCAAACTGACGAAAGTATATTTGAATTTTATTTTTCAATTATTCAAAACAAATTCAGATCCCATATAAGAACTCTGACTTCTAGCTCCAACCTTTAACATTTTAAACTTTAATACAAAAAATCCAATTAGATTAACATGCTCTACCCCTAGTCCTGAGTTACACTAGTCAGACCAATGAAGTCCGAGAATCATGAAATCCCCGCCACCAGTTCAGGTTCAAATGCTTTTGCCATCAAGTGTATTAGACCACAGGTACAAGCTGCAACTTTTTTCAAAGGAACAAACTTTTTTTTGAAACAACGGCAGGAGCTCTGCCTTTCAATTAAGATGAATGAAGTTTTATGTATATGAAAGGGTAGCCCAATGTGATGCCAACCACCACGAAAGGCTAGCCGCGGAGGCGTGGTGGGAGAGGAGGAAGAAAGGGCGGGCGGATGCGACGCGACAGAGTACAACACATAGACGACCCACCCTACGAAGCCAGGCAGTCGGGCCCAAAGCAAGAGGTCGCAATAGGTCATCGTTGCCCAGCTCAAACACACCACGAAGAGCAGCTCCGACTTCATGACTTGATCTCACACCGCCGACGGCAATTGCCGGGCTTCCCAAGCCGAATCTCATCGTCGAAGGAGGGTTCACCCATATCATCGTTGCTTAAGCCACACCCCCCGATGCAGCAGCTCCGACTTCACGATGCGGTTCCGCCGTCTCGATCAACCGGGCGTCCGAGAAACACATAGCAACCAACCACCGAATATCGCCGCCGTGAGATTTAAAACTTCCAAAAGCGACGCCTTTCAGAAGGGGCACGCCGCCCATAGCGCCACAATCACTCGTCCCAAGGAATGGACCGGTTTTCACCCGTGGAAGACATTAATCGAGGGAACATGACGCCCAACAAGGAAAGCGGCGCCTTAGGCGCCACCATCGCCAAGGCTTTCTCCCAAAGTGCCCCCAACATGTACATTAGGGTAAGATGCCGGAACCCTATCCTACCACCAGACCTCTCCCGTCGTCACCACTGCCTTGTCATCCCGCAGGTGCCCCCAGCATGTACGTGTCGGCTGCTCACAGCAGTCGCACAGCTGCGTCGACCGCCACGCCATCCAACCGGGCAACACACAAAACTGGCCAATGGCCATACCCAGCGCGCGCGTCACACTGCACCACGCCGAAGGCGTCGCCGACCGAAGCACCCACCGTCAACGCAGCTGACCTGAGGCAGCCACCGCCGAGCACATGCTCCACCACTGCGGGCGCCACCCCTTGCCCTGGGGATGCCGGATCTGGCCGCTAGGGCACCGGGCCCGGTAGCCCCAGCTGGCGCCACCGCCTCCACCATGGTTGCCGCCATGGGCGCCGGATCCAGCCTCCTAGGCACCGGATCCGCCCGCCCGTGCCCCTGAAATGGCCCAGGCGCGTGCCGCCGCCATGGATGAGAAAGGAGGAGGAAGTGGAGGAGGAAGGAGAGCCCCAGATCTTTGCTACCCAGAGCAGCCGCAGCGGGCACGTGCAGCACCGCCACCAGCCAGCGTAGGCAGCCCCGGTGAGCCCCACGTGGCTTGCGCAAGGGCCCCCGCCGGCCTGCTACAGCGCACGCCACCGCCACCGCTGAGCGCGAGGGAGAGCCCCGCCGCCGCCATCCCGGCAAGCCGCGCGGCCCTGCCAGTGGCCTGCTCTGGCGGCGGCGTGGCGGGAGAGGAGGAAGAAAGGGCAGGCGGCGGTTAGGGTTTGGCCGCCGCCCGAGTGGCCTACGTCGGGGAGGCGACGTGGGGGCACACGGTCCAGTTTACATATGAGTATGAGACTTTGGCTTAAAGGGAACAAACTAGAAGCTAAAGTTTCAGTACTGACTGCAAAAATTTTGCAATAAGTTCAGAGGGTATTTAAATGGCACCACAATTACTGGGTAGATTAGACCCTATATTTTAAGGTTTAATAAAAACTTCCGACATAGATTTTGCTCATCAGTGCTGCTAGTGGTGTAGTTTAAACCAAAGACCACCTAGGGACAATATGAAAGTCTGGAGATGAAGTGAATAGGAGGGTTGTAAGTTACTCACTGGTATAATTCAGATTTCTTGTACAGGTCACTGAAATCAACACCTAGTATCTGTTCTTGCGAGACTGTTGTTACTTCTAACATCCATGTTGCTGGATTGTAGCCATCTTTAATTTTCTTGACTCCCTCAATTCCCTAGACAATATGAGCAATACAATGTATTCAGTAAATTGAAGCAATAAAGTCGAGCAATTTTTTTTAATATTCTTGTAATATCACAACACCTCAAAATACTTAATCAGCTCAGAAGAACGATGGCCTAGTGGACCAACATAGATCTCCTCTCCTCCTCGCTTCATAAGGAAAAGCTGCAACAATTCATCAAACACCTTAGACTTTGCAACATTGCTTCATATCATATTTATAATACTAACCAAGGTCAATTAAATTTCAAAATCATCCTAGTTATCCAGATGCGAAGTAATGGTGGTAAGAAGAAATCACTGGAAAGTACAAAGATCCACCATAAATAAGCTCACCTCATCGAATGCTTCAAATATGTCAATGCTAGGCTGATGAATCGTGCAGACTACAGTTCTACCTGTATCAACAGTATTCCTCACTGTCCTCATAACAATTGCAGCTGCTCGGGCATCAAGACCAGAGGTTGGCTCATCCATGAAAATGATTGAGGGATTTGCAACCAGCTCCACAGCAATGGTCAATCTTTTCCTCTGCTCAGTTGACAGACCATTCAGACCAGGAAGTCCAATCAAAGCATTTCTCAATGGCTTGAGCTCCACAAGCTCCATGACCTCCTCAATGAACATCTGCATGCATAAAGGTAAGCAATGTTGTCTAATATATCAAGTATAGATTGAGGTTGGAAGTTGAATCTATTCTGTTTGGCTGACCTTTCTGGTGTTTGAGTCTACATCCCTCGGAAGGCGTAGCCACGCTGAGAAAACAAGTGACTCATAGACTGTCACCTGCGGCGAGTGGATATCATTCTGCTCACAGTATCCTGATACACGTGCAAAGGTCTCTTGTTTCTTTGGGTATCCTGAAATGCTAATGTTTCCTTCAATGTAACCACTGGTCTTTCTCCCAGCCAATACATCCATTAGAGTTGTCTTGCCAGCACCACTAACGCCCATCAGTGCGGTCAGCACTCCTGGTCTGAAAGATCCACTGATACCTTTGAGGAGCTCTAACCGGTCCCCAACTACACCATGTGTTTTCATCTCCTGAATGAGTTTCATCCAAAGATTACTGTCTGATTGTTAATTGCTCACGGTTGATGATTTACAGAAATAATTTCAATACTTACCTGGGGCATGTCAACAAAGTACTTGATGTTATTGAAAGCCAGTGAAAGCAGGGCAAACGGAAGAACCATACCCCTTTGCGTAGTGCCAGAATGATTTTCAACAGTTGCTGAACCGGATCTAGTGATGCCAACTGTTTCTAAATGGCTACTTCCTAGTGGCAAGCTGTCTTCAGCCACAGCATTACCATTGAGGTTTGCATACTTCTCCTTCAATTCCTCTTCAGATATCGATCGATGGGACTTGCCATATGCTGTAAACTTAAAATAAAACCTTCTTAATTTTAGGTATTTTCAAATGCAAAAACCATGAGCAAACCAATCCTAGAGGAACTCACGCTTCAGGTACGCTAGGGAAAGCGTGAAGAGACAATTGAAAAGCATGACAAATCCAATCAATGCGCCTAAGCCGATCCAATACCACTTTGCTTCTGGGAAGACTCCACGGGACTTCAGGGATTGCACACCTAGGGTTTCATTGGACACAGAGCTATTCAAAATTTTGTCCCAACTGTGCCCTAGCATCTCATTTACTGAGATGGCATTCTGGGCATACATCAGTGGGGAGATCCAGTAGCCCCATATCCACCACTTCTTCACTTTATCTGCAAATTCAAAAAGAAAGAGGCACCCACCTTTTTTTAAAAAAAAAGCATAATAAATAGTACTACATATAGAAAAAAACGGCGAGGTTATTCTCTTTGTTTTTTGAAAAAACATGGTGAGGGTGTACCTCTTACTAGAATAAATCCACCCAACACCATAAAGATTAGCAGCATGAATGCTCCAAAGACGTTTGCAACAATCATGTTCCTTGCTGCCCCACCAATGAATCGGAAGAGTGATGCTGCCATCTGATTGAGTGCTAACAAAAGGAGATACTGCTTGAAGAACCTAGCACAACGTCGGGATGGTAAGTAAAGCCCTGTGATGAATATTTGGTTAACAAGCTAGCCTTAATCTCTCATTGATCAATCTCACCTGCCTACATTTGGGTCAAACCCGATGACATAATACGCCATGAAAACAAACCCACCAACCTCAACAAAAGAGATTGGGATCTTGAGGATCCATGTGGGTATGGTGTAGGCCCATGCTGGATAGAAGAGGAGATCTCTCTGCTTGAAGAACACTGGCATCTTAATGATGGTGAGTGCAAGCTCAGACAATCCATTAAACATGATCATGGTCACCACAAAGAAGATCGCACCCAAGTAGATACCACCATCAGTCACTGAGTCACGGTGCATCTTGGTACGAAAGAAGAGAGTCATTACAATTATGGACAACATCATCAGCTGACATATCAAAACACCAAGTCAGGCATTGTAGTTATTGTTCACACCATCTTACTATGTTTGAAATAGAGTTCCTAATGATCACCTGCAAAGATCTGAAGATGTAGACGAAGGAATTCCTCTTCATAAGCAAGATTTCTCGGTCGACGTTTGCTTTCAACAGCTCCCAGGAACTGACACCATACCTTGAGGTGGTCAGAGCACCGGGATGGTTTCTGCTCTTGTCGAAAGGAACAGCTAGCTCATTTGCTACAGCTCTCCCAACATGGAAAGACTGGAATGCTGATGCAAATTCCTTAACCGACACATATCGGTACGGCTTGTCATGCTGCACCCAGTATTGCTTCTGATCTTTCCTGGAAGTCACCTGCTCAGTGAACCCATGAAGATTGTTACAAGAAGCAAGGGATATGGTTGACACCGTATTTCAGAACGAAGAATGTGTCTGTTTACTTACTTCTTGCAAAAAGTCAGCCACACCCTTCCTCTCAGGACACTTGAACCCAAGAGACGAGAAGAATTCGAGCACGCTTTCTCGGGGGCCCTGATACACAATCTGCCCATCCGAGAGCAGTATGATGTCGTCAAAAAGATCATATGTCTCGGGCGCAGGCTGTAGCAAGGAGATGAGAGCTGTGCCACCGAGGATGTGGATTGCCTGTCTAAGTGACTTAATGATCTGGAACGTAGTGGAGGTGTCAAGCCCAGTCGAAATTTCATCCATGAATAGTGCATTGGCCGGACCAACAAGCATCTCGCCTACAGGATTGTAGCCAGTCACAACATTTTTCACTACTCCTAGCTAATGTTCTGAACTGAAGTTAATATATTTTTTTAGAGAACACGATGGACAGCCATATATCTATGTAAGTACAAGAAAAGTTCAACACAGACTGCTAAATAAAAATGAGCATGGAAAACAGTAGAAGATGAGCAGGTAAATTAGCAACAAAAACTAAAATTATGTACGGAGTATATCTCTACCTGTTGTGACACGCTTCCGTTGTCCACCAGAGATGCCCCTCAACATCTCATCTCCCACCATCGTGTCAGCACATATTTCTAATCCTAGTATCTGCAATACCAGATGTATGAATGTTGAATAATGAACAAGAAGCATCCAAAAAAATAATGAACAAGAAATCTTTGGTAGCTCAATCTGAAACCACCAGCGGTTGCAAGTCAAATACCTTCAATATATAGTCACAGATCACATTAGCTTCCTGTCCTCGCATTGAACAAGCCTGAACAAGATGAGCGAAAAAGGTAAGCTATTGTCCTTAGCTACTGTGCAAGTTATCATAAAAGATAGAACCAAAGCAATAAGATACTCTTGATTTATCTAAGAGTGTAAATCCATGCCTTCATGAATGCATCAATATCGGTATCAGGCTTGATATTTCCCGCCTTCTCCCGCCTTGAAAGCTCAGCCAACAAATCTGCCAACATAACACAAACTTGATAAATACATCAATTAAACATGTCAATCCTGCAGAATCTGCAAGCAGCAAACCCTTGTGACTAATTGTTCAGAGTCATACCGAAACGAGTGCCAACACCTTGACAGCGTGCAGAGTACTCAAGCGTTTCTCTGACAGTCATCTCTCCGATGTGAAGGTCATGCTGGCTGATATACGCGGCTGTCCTCTCCGGCACAAACTCATTCATTTCATGCCCATTGTAGGTCACTTTGCCTGAAACCTGCTCATCATTTGACCCAATTATTACCAATGTCGTATGTACCAAAGTTCACTGTGAAATATTCTATTTCTACGTGAAGATCGTGCAATATTTTAGACGCCGTCCCTCCAACAGCTGTCCTAGTTGTTGGCTGATTATTTTTGTGCTAAGTTGATGTGTGTGCGCGCGCTAATTAATACGTGACAGAAACATGAGGGCTGACGAGATACGTGTGTGTTTAAGAAAAAAAAAGTCTGCGGAAACCTTTAATGATTGATTATATATATATATACTTGTGATTGATCCTTGATCCCCTTACTGATTATATATATATATATATACTTGTGATTGATCCTTGATCCTCTTACCTTTAATGAAATAGTATGCGTGTGCACGTTCGTTAAAAAAAATACTTGTGATTGATTATATAAAGGGGTTCACGAGATACGTGTGTCTTTAAGAAACATGTATGTGATTGATGAGTGAATTTACTTTTACAAACCTTGAGGTCTTTATCGAGCCTCCCGGCCAAGGCGAGCAGCAAGGTGGTTTTCCTGACCCGGGCGGACCTAACAGCAGAGTCATTCTGCAAATGCAACGAGCGTCAGGCAAGATGCCATGCCTCCACCTGGCTCGGACTCAACAGCAACCAAGATCACGAACTTTTGAGATTCATCAAAAGCTGATTACCTGCAGGGCTTGACGATGCCGCTGACGTCGTGCAGGATAGGTATGGCCTGCTTCCGGCTGCGGCGAACGTGCAGCGCGTTGGCGACGTCCTCGAGCTTGTTGGTGATGGAGTTGAGGACGGTGGGAGTCCGCTGGAGCCGACGCGCACGTCCGCCTCCGCGCTTAGGTGCTCGAACCGCACCTCGATCGTGGGCAAGTCGATCCCGACCCTGCACGCACGGCGGCACAAGGAGCGCAAATTAAATCGTGAAGCACGTCCTGGTTGAGCTGTATCTGTATAGGAGCATGTGCACGCACCGTTGGATGCGTTCCTTGATCTTGAGCAGAAAGCGCTCGTTGTCCTCGTCGGCGACGCGCACGAGGCGCTCCAGGAGCGCGCGCCTCTCGCGCGGGCCGAGGCCGAGCACGTCCACCACCTGCGGGGCCGCCTCCCGCCGCCGTGGCCATCGCCGTCGCCACCGAGCGGGAGGATGGCGCGGCGGACGCGGTCGCTGGTGGGCAGCCTCTCGAGCGCGGCCCACCGCAGCGCCTCCTCGTCGTCCTCCTCCTCCCTCCGCGAAGAGGAGCGCGAGAACGCGTCGTCGGGCGCGCGCCACCACGCGGAGGGGCCCGGCCTGAACCCGCCGCTGTCGCGGCGCATGCTCGCCACCTTCTGGAGCTCCGCCGCCGCGTCCATACCCGCCGTGGCGCTACGCCCGCCCGAAGACTCAGCGCCGCAGCCCGAGCAGTCGAGACAACGAACCCCCTCCGCCGCCGCGTCCATACCCGGCGCGGCGCTACGCACGCCCGCCCGCCGACTCAGCACCGCAGCCCGAGCAGCCGAGACGACGAACCCCCTGTGTGGTTGGTGTGGCGTGGCTTTTGCAGCGTTTCCCAGGTGGTTTTGCGGGGTGCGACGACGCCGAGGCTGTTGGGGAGAGTGGAGGGGAGTTTTGTAGGTGTAGCCTGTAGGCAGCGGCAACGGGTAGGGAGAGTGGCAGCTACGTGTCACATAGTATATCTGCTACCTGCTTTCTTACACACTATATATTACTATTCTTATTATTAGAGAACTGATCCGGTATTCCTCTTTTTTTTTAATTTGCACAGATCTCAAAGCAGCAAATCTAACTAATTAAACATTTTTCTTAATTATTTTCGACATGGGTCATTATGGGCCAGCCGGCCCGCATGTACGAACCCACACAAACCTTGGACCAAAGTCATCTCTGCTAGTCCCCAGTCCTTTTTGTTCCGAACTCATTCTGTTTCC